ACTAACCAAAAGCTCAAAGAAGCAGAACACTAGCTAAAAGCTAAAAGGAACAAAACATAGCTAAAAGATAAAGCAAACACTGGTTAAATGCTAAAAGGAACAAAACACTAGCTAAAAGATAAAAGAAGCTGAACACTAGCTTACAGCTAAAATGAACAAAACATAGCTATAAGATAAAATAAACCAAACCCTGGTTAAAAGCTAAAAGGAACAAAATAATAGCTAAAAGTTAAAAGGAACATACTGCTACCTATAAGCTTAAACAAACCAAACACTAGCAAACAGCTAAAAGGAGAACAATATTGTCTAAAATCCAAATGTAGCAAAATGCTAGCTAAAAGATAAAATAAAACTGGGTGAAGGCAGACTAACACTCAGCTAAAAGTTTAAATTAACACAAGGTTAGCTAAAGCTAAATGTAACAAAAAGCCATTTAAAAATAGCAAAACAATAATTGGAAGCTAAAAGCAGTAAAAGTCTAGCTACAAGTTAAAAGTAGCAAAGGGCTAGCTAAAACCAAAAAGTAGCAAAAGCCAAGCTAAAAGCTAAAAGTAGCAGAACGGTAGCTATGTCAAAAGCAGCATAAGAAAACAGAACGTGTGTGAAGGAGATTTTAAAAAGAACAATGTCTTTGAAACAATTTAAGAGATCTCAATGTATTTCCATGGGTAAAATATTTAATTAAGTGTTTTGAAACGTATAAAAGTAAAATAAAATTAAAAAGCGGCAGTCGCCAAGCTCCTGAATGAGCTGAACGTTTTGAGCTACAAGTAGCTAAAACACCACCAGAAGTAGTTACATTACAGACATACCAAAAATAAAAACTGGAAAACCGTGGAGCGAACGCTGGATCAACATTTACACGACGACTGTTCACTTCTTGTTTCTTAAAAACGTTTTACTTGGATATCCGTACCGATTTCTTCACATTGACTCTTGATCTTCTTCCAGCCGGGCTGTTCATCCTCACCGGCTGAACTTCAGGTTCAGACACTTAAACTTTCTTTACCTCCACGATCAAATGTCCGCAGTTTCCCACACAACCTGACCCGCTCTGCGGCGTCCATTCTATCCAGACGTGGGACGCATGAAGTCATACAGCTCTCACTCCCTGCAGCGCTGAAGCTTCCTGTCCCACGAAACACAACCTGGTCTTTAGCTGCAGCTTCACAACTCTAAACACGATCACTGGTTCTCTAAGAGCCTGCAGGGAAAACAAGACACAATCTCCTGTTCGGGCGGCTCAAATGTCCCACGTTGGGCTAAATAACTCAGAATACAGCATGAGTCAGTCATTCTGTGACATGGGCGTAGAGTTACAAGCCCCCATCTTCGCCTCAATCATCCAAATCCAGCAACCCCACCCTGCCCAAAAACATGAGCAGGGCATCATGGGACACAAAGCTATAAAAAGACTTGAAGGTAGCTGGGTATTTGGTCTGCGGGGCTAATGTTTCCAGCTTGGACGAGTCACCAATTGTGTCCCTGCAGCTCACGAAACATTCTCATTCCCTCAACGTCAGACTTTTACTGAACTAAATACTTTCTACCCGTGAACTGTCGTCATTTTACAAATTAGAGGCCTCGCACTGGTTGAACAAATGCATATCGCCCGCCTAATTTCACGCCAGTTTTAGATGAAGGTCGTCGTATGTTGGGGCGGAGCTCAAGTCTTCCGGTCAAACCTCGACAGGGACAAGGCATGCAATATCAGGAGGTCTCGTTAGATCTGTCAACACTCAGGTTGTGTGTGGAGGATGACTTTCGGCTACTACCACATCAAACTTTAGCTCAATATCTGCAAAAAAAGAAGATAATTTTTTTTTTGTGTTGGCTGTCAATTAGATGTGGCAGCCATCTTGAAGTAGAATGACTCCAAAAGTCAGTCAGTTGCAGAAGTCCAACAAATGAGTGTCTGAGAGTGTCCTCAAAATCTGTCCAGTGATTCACGAGAAGTTTTGCTAACAGGCAAACAGGGTTAGCAGCTAAATTTAATGCCAAAGGTTTAAGTAAGAATGTGTAGTGCTTAAGGTATGTTTTGAGAAACAGTCTCAGCTACTACCACACCAAACTTTAGCTCAGTGTTTGTAAAACTGACTGAGTTCTAGTTATTTCTTTTATAAATTCAGTTGGCTGTGGCGGCCATATTGAATTGGTGGACTCCAAAAGTGAATCACTTGTCGAGGTAGATCTAATTATTATTTAATGATTATTTAATGAAAGTTTCACGGGATGAGAGAGAGAGATACGGACGAACAGACCGACCGATCAATAGTAGACAGACAGACAGACAGACAGACAGATAGAAAGAAAAGCTCTGCAGAGAGTGGTGAAGGCTGCACAGAAGTCTGTTGGAGTCAGCCTCCCCACCATCACAGACATCTACCCCTCCAGATGCAGGAAGAGGGCCACCTGCATCAGGAAGGACCACACTCACCCAGCACACACATTTTTTGCCCCGCTCCCCTCAGAAAGGAGGTTGAGGAGCATTAAGTGTAGAACCACTAGACTGAGGAACAGCTTCTACCCTGAGACTGTTAGACTCATGAATCTCTAACCAGAATAATCACTGTGAAGAATCCCATCCTGTTGCTGCTGATCTGTTTCATGTTGCTGCTGATCCGTTTTGTTTTGAGCTGTGGCTTTTTCAGCCACACTTAAGAGCCTGGTCTCAGGGAGCTTTTGACCCCTTTCCCTCTCTTGGCTCTCTCAGGGCTCTTTTTGCTCTTTCTAGCCCTCAGACTCCCTCTTTTTGGATCCTCACAGACTCCCCACATTTTTGGACGTTTTTCTTGGCCGCCCTGGTTTTCCCAGGGCCCTTGTTTTTTTTACTTTGTCCTGGAGCTGTGGCCTGCTGTCTGTGACCTCAGCCACCTCAGGTAATTTTTGTTAACTTCTTGTAGATTTTTTGTAACGTTGGCCTGGTGGGACCGGTTGTCCTGTTTTTGTCCTGTTCTTTTGTAATAGAGTTGTTGTTTTTTTCTGGTTTTAGTCTGGTACCAGCAGCGGCTTCAACGGCCCTGTAAGGGTTGACCCACTGCTGTGACTTTTTATTCTGTTTGACCGGGTCACCAGGTCCATCTTTGAGTTGATACTTTGGGGTTTTTGTGTCTTTTGGTGGACACTGGGAGTTCCTGGTCTTTTTCCTTTCTTTTTCAGGAAGCAGAATAATAAAAAAAAACTCTGTTTAATGGATTACATTTTCTATATGTTGAAAACTAGCACAAACCATTACAGCCGTTTAGTCTCCGGCTCGTCCACATGTGGAAATGTCTTTTAGCAAATTACTGAAGCTCAAGGTGCTCCAAATGGCAGGCAAGCCCCCCGAACAGTTGCACTGCCACTGGCGTGTGAGCGTGTGAACATGTGAGTGTGTGCATGGATGTCTGAATGAGAAACACATGTAAAGTGATTCACAGGACCCAGCTAAAGTTACAGACATGTGCACACTATTTACCATGAACCAGCACAGCTTCGCCAGACACTTCATGTTTGGGAAAAGTGTTGTTCCTTTGACGATGCGTCGAGTTTCCATTTAAAGTGCTACGTGTTGTCATCACTGTATGTTCCCATACAATGGCGAAATTAGTTCTCTGCCTTCAACCCATCGCACCTGGGATGCACCAAGGTGGAGCAGTGGGCAGCTATGCGAGCGCCCGGGGAGCAATTAGGTGTCTTGCTCAAAGACACCATGACATGTGGGAATGGCTGGGGATCAAACCTGGGGCTTTCGGGTCCCAGGTCGGCTGACCTGCCTCTACCCCATCCCGGCCCCTCATTTGACGCTGCTATAAAAATTTTACTGCCAATAATAATCCCGAGTTTCTGCAGAAGTGATCCTAACAGCTACAGCTTGGAGGTGTTCAATAAGAAATCTGCTAAAATAATAAACATCAACTCAAACATCACAATGGCCTCCAAGATCTGAAATCTCCAGAGTGAAGTAAAACTAAAATTGTATCAGTGTTTGTGTTTTGCTCAATGACCCACAGCTCAGTGGTCGTCAGTGAAAGAACATTTTCTCGTATGCTGCTCGTCTTCACTCGTCCTGTTTTTTAGACCTTCACCCGTGGACCGGCAGCTTCTCTCTGCAGAGACAGGCGGGGGGAAACCAGGGACCACACGTGGGAATTACCGTAAATGCTAGAAAAGCTGCAACACATAAAATGAATTGCAGCCTATTGACCTTTGACTAAAGCACATGCGTAAAATCGAGCATCCCGCCCCCCGAATAGTTTCTTAGCCATGTCCGTTACACCTGCTGCTTTACAGACTGTTGTGTACAAACGTATTTGTAAATTTGTTTCATTGGTATTTTACGTTGTGAGCGCGATGTGTTGTGTTGCCAGGTGTCTGAATGACTGCGGAGCCGCTGGAACAGTTAGATATGAACAGAGTTCAGACCGAGTTATTTTCAACAAACCAAAGGTAGGCATGAAACTATTTAGACAAACAAAGCAACAAAATACTGACTTTGAGCACGTGCATGAGTAACTGGAAAAAGGTCAATGCGGGAAAAGCTGTGCTGCCTAGTTCTGGATGATTTCTTTTGTTGTTGAGACGTTTCGTCCTTCCTTCCATCGACTCCTCTGAGGCAGCCAAAGTGGTTCAAAACATCAAAGTTCATGCTCAATAATCCAGGGAGAAAATCCAGCAATGTTCAATCAGGTCATCTGGACGGTTTCTTTTTTTGTTGAGACGTTTCGTCCTTCATCAGTCCAAGGAGCCACAAACAAACTCAGTCCCACATGCAGCACACTCCCATAGCGGACCAACCAGTTTGCTGGTGATAAGATGCTGCCTGGATTACTGAACATGAACTTTGATGTTTTGAACCACTCTGGCTGCCTCAGAGGAGCCGACGGAGGAGAGGGCGGGCTCCAGGAACCATCTTATCACCAGCAAACTGGTTGGTCCACTATGGGAGAGTGCTGCATGTGGGACTGAGTTTGTTTGTGGCTCCTTGGACTGACGAAGTCCTTTGGATGAAGGACGAAACGTCTCAACAAAACAAGAAACCGTCCAGATGACCTGACTGAACTTTGTTGGATTTTATACCTGGATTATTGAGCATGAACTTTGATCAACGTAGATACTTTACATAATAATTGTTTTCTACTGAAACCTACACCTGATCTGGGACCAGATCAGTTGGGGCCGGGTACAGACTGCAGACCATCGCTTGGGGACCCCTGCATTAGTTGATTAATCAACATTTAAAGTCGATTAATTCCTGCTCTGTGAACGAACGCCATTAAAATCAGGACCAAAAGAATGTAGCAGAACGCGGGAATAAAAATAATACATTTTCTGGGATAAAGCTGCTGCACCATCTGACAGAACGCGGAGGAGCTGTGGCAGGAGGAAGTGGGTCGGCGCTGTGCTGAATACTCCTGGGGGGGTGGGGTGCCTGTATAATGAGGTCAGGAGGGGTCTCCTCACAATGGAGGCAAAGGGGGTTCATGCGGGTTTTAAACTGTCAGGAGTGACGGCGAAGCTGGGTGGTTGGGCTTTGTGCACTAGTTTGGGGTACGCATAGTTGGTGTGGTTGGTGGTGTTGGGGGGGGGGGGGGGGAACTGCAGTTTAAAGAACAAAAACAACTAGTTCCAGTTGGCTGCTTTCCACCAGCTGCACCAAACTGGGACATGCAACATCTACAGAAACCTTCAAACACTGGAGCTGACAGAAGCCAGGACCCAACATGAGTTCTGGTACACACCGCCGTGCGTTCTGACCCGGTTCCTTTCGATTACGCTGAAGCGCCACGACTGCTCTGAGGGTTTGGTGTTTACCTGCGTGGCTTTGTCGTTGCCCCCTGCAGCCGGGGCGCCCTCGGCCTCTTTGGGCCACTGGCCCTGCAGGTAGGGCCCGACGATGGTGTCCAAAGACAGGGTCCTGCGGATGGTGGGCTTCGGCGGACGAGCTGCCGTTCTGTCTGCTTTAACAAACACAAATGGTGCACATTAAATAACCTGCTAAACAAAAGTGCAAACCTTTATAATTATCTAATGATTACTTTCTGAAAGCTTCTTTAAAACGCACGCAGAGACCTTTTGCTGACGGTACAGAAGCGACTTGTTACTTTGGACAGGCGTTCACGAACACGTGAGCGCGTTGGCAGCTTTTGGTGCCTCTGGCAGGTGAGGATCACACCTTTGACCCGGAGCGACGCCCTCCAGAAACACTCTCACCACAGACTGCACGTTTATTTACCACCAGCCTGAAAGCGCACGTCACCGGGCCGGGTTTCAGGGTATAAATAACTCACAGATGTGCGTTTAATGGATGTAGTTTGGGAACCGGAGACACAAAGAGGCCTTCAAAGCTGCTGGTGCGGCGTTGGCGTCAAGCACGCGGCAGAAATCCTGCAGGTCGCCGTGCAAACGGGGGATGAGCGTCCAAACAGCACAAAGTGTTGTAGGGTTTACAAACTTCACTGCTGACAGAGCGTTGGCATTTTTAGACCACAAACAAACAACAGATTTTATTCTCTATAAGAAGTTTGACTTTTTCCTTTAATAAAAAAATAAATAATAATTTGTTATGCAATCAAGTTGAGTTGCCAACTTGTTTTGTTGTTTAAAAAAAATAAAAATAATTAATGCAATAAAGCTTTATTTCCTCAAGGTTTCCTGCCAGAATTTAAAACTGAGATCATCATGTTGAGAAACAGCAGTTTATTTTTGTCTCCGCTAATTTTGATTAGCTGCGGCGGCCATCTTAACCCAGATTGACTCCAAAAGTTAATTAATTTAAGACACAAGTCTAATGATTACGTTTCAAGAGCTTTGTTGAAGTCCACCAAACGATGCATGAGATGTTTTGCTAACAGACAAACAGGACCAGGATCGACTAACAGCTAAAGCTTAGGTTTTAAGCAAACATCCAGAGGTTTTGTTGTGGGAGTCTTTAAGCTACTACACCAGATTATGGCTCAATATCTAAAGAACTGACTGAATTATAGCCATGTATGCGTTTTGTAAATGCAGTTGTCTGCGGTGGCCAACTTATATTGGGGTAACTCCAAAACTAAAACAGTTGTAGAAGTCCATTTAGTGATTTTCCTCTGAAAGTTTAATTAAAATCCACCCATTGATTTGTGAGATATTTTGCTAACAGACAAACAGGAACAGGCGCGATTCTAACAGCTAAAGCTTAGGTTTTAAGCAAACATCTTGCACAATGAGTAACAGAGGTTTTGTTGTGGGAGTCTTTAAGCTACTAGCACACCAGATTATGGCTCAATATCTAAAGAACTGACTGAATTGTAGCCATGTATGCGTTTTGTAAATGCAGTTGTCTGTGGCAGCCACCTTACATTGGTTTGACCCCAAAAATTAAACAATTGTAGAGGTCAATTTAATGATTTTCTCCTGAAAGTTTCATTAAAATCAGCCCGTTGGTTTGTGAGATATTTTGCTAACAGACGGAGTTGACGCCAAGCGCTCAGATTGTGTGTTGGGGATCAGTCTCAGCTACCAACACGTCAGATCTGTAAAACTGACCGAGTCTTTTTGTAAATTACAGTTAGTGCTGATAATGTGTTGTTTCTTTTTTACCCGTCCGGAGCTCTCTGCAGACTGGACCGGAGCCTCTGTGGAGCTGGTACCGGACCGTGGCTCTGATGGGCTGCAGGCTGGGGGTGCTGCAGCCCCGGGGGGCTCCTCCGGCTCCGCTCCTGCCCGACATCCCCCCTCTCGCTCCGGGCTTTGGGCTCGCTCCTGCAGTCAGTCTCTCCGGAGCACCGATCCGAACCTGCGCTCGGGCTTCATCACGTCGCTCAACTCTTTTACGAGTTTTCTTGACTCACAACTTTCAGAACGAGGGAGGAAACGGAAAGACGAGCTGAATGAGCTTTACTCGACCAAAAATTAAAACAAAAATCACATTTTGTTCGTCATTCTTTAAATTACTTTACTCCTAGTTCGCAGTGACAACAGTCAAACCTGCCATACCGTCTCGTGCAGCGTTGTTTGTAAAACGGACTGATCTGATTGGTTGCTGCGGAATCGTCCTGGACGCTGATTGGTTCTTACATCCATCCGTCTCCGTTGATGAAATGTCCCACCCACCTTGGATTTATTCAAGAGGGAGCCTCAATGTGTGGTTCGGGGGCCGTTAGGGGTCACTGCAGGAGCTCAGAAGGTCCTGAATAATTTTGATCATTATTGATCCAGAGGAAGAAACTCCACCTGTCCTCAGCGTAGAAAAATACGATAAAACCTATAAAACATTCCCTAAAATGAGCTGTCAGGTGCTTTTTTGGTGTTTGCTCCCAAAAGGCAAGGAAAGTAAACAATGTTTTGCTCGTGTCTGTGTGTGCCTGTGACTGTCAGCAAAATATCTTGTGAACCAGTGGACGAACTTTAATGAAACGTGCAGAACGTAATGGCCGTGTGTACGTCTACAGCTGATTAACTCCAGTATTTAACCAGAGTCAAGCTGGCCATCACAGCAACTCCAAAACAGCTAGAGCTCTGTCAACGTTAAAGATATTCAGCTAAAATTTGATGTGGTAGAAGCTGAGTTATTTACAACGTATACTCTGAGGGTGGAAGCACATATTTAAAAAGTTCAAAATGTATTCTTTACTTTGATTGAACATCAGCAAGATCATGTTTTTAGGTAAACAAATGCTTTAATTTGAGATATAAGGAAACTAGACAGTGTATATATATACATTTTAAATAAAAACAAAAATTCAGCTAAAACATGAAAAACTCACTGAAAGAATAAGATTAAATTCCCTTTAAATGACCAGAAGAAAGTCTGGTTACTTGGAAGCAAAATATAAAATATGAGCAAGACTTTTATTAAAGAATAGTAAATAACGCTAGGAGAGCTTTAAATATTTTAAAATAGTATTTTTTCCATAAGTATATTGCATATGTTGGCCAATAGAACAAAACTACAAGAAACTCACTGATCTGAATGTTTTAGCGACACAAACAAAAAGTGGCCGCATGTTTGATTTTAGTGGCTGAACTCGACCTTTTTCAGACTCGTGTTTCTAAGAAAGCCAAAGAGAAGAGAGCGAAGTGGGGGCGTCTTAGATATTTATTCTGCAGCATGAAGAAAAATGATCAGTCTAATGCACGGCCCCCCAAACGGCATAAGCCTCTGGCTGAGGCCCCCCTCGCAAACTAAACAATGCTACAAAATATGTAAAGAAACATAAACTTTTAGAATGTTTTAACTTTTATTCACTATATTCTATTAATTATTACAGCTGCTGAGCATAAATGTTATTAACTAACATGTTTTAAACATATTCCCACTGAAAAAAAAACAGCTTTTCATCAAACTGTTGACCAGAAGAACAAAACAAATCTAACCTCTCTCTCAAGCGTGTTTATAACAGATACAGATTGCACTAGTGAGCAATTATTATTATTTTTGCATATTTTTTTTTAAATCTTCTTCTCTCCAGCTTTCTGAGGACACTTTAGTGCCCCCTGGCGGCCCCCCTGGGGGCTACAGCCCTCACTTTGAAGAATGTTCTAATAAACAATGGGAATATGAAATTATTAAATCATAATTTAAAAGAAAGTAATCATTTCTGCAGGTTGAGGCGGTCCCACTGCAACAGAAAAGGTTTCTGCAACGAGGGAGAATGATCGCCGAACGACTGCTGACACTGAACTGTTAAAGTTAAAAAAAAAAAAAAAACTGAGCATAAAAATAAAATAAAAAAAAACAATAGCTAAAATTAGCTAAACAGCTAAAAATAAAACTCAGCAGCAAAGAGCTTATATTAGCAAAACAATCGCTAAAATCTCAGTGAAGCATACCTGGAAGCTAAAATAAGCTAAACAGCTTAGCCATAGCTAAAAGCATACTGGTAGCTAAAAATTAGCCATCCTGCATTTTTACCTGCTTCTTCCTTTATCGAGTCATGGGGGTCACAGGTGCCCAAATCCAGCAGTCACTGTGTGAGAGGTGGGGGACACCTTGGACAGGCCTCCAGTCCATCACAGGGACAAACGAGACGAACATCCATTCACTCTCTCACCTATAATTTAGAGTTACCAATCAGCCTAACATGCATGTTTTTGGTCTGTGGGAGGAAAGTGGAGTACCTGGAGAAAACCCACGCATGCACGGAAAGAACATGCAAACTCCATCCAGAAAGGTCCCTGGCAGGGATTTGATCCAGTGACCTTCTCGCTGAGAGGCAACAGCTCTAGCAACTGAGCCACCGAGCCAAACTAGCTAAAAAAAAATGGAGAACAGTAGTTATGAGCTAAAAAAAAGAACACTAACAAAACTGAAGCTTAAACCTAAAACTAACAACACAGCAGCTAAAGGGAGTACAGGAAATCTGCTGACAGATGTTAGAGATCAACGCGTTTGAAGGAACTGACGAGCTCTTAGAGCATTTATGGAGATTTTTTTTTTTAAATTGAGTTACAAAAAAAAAAAGTAAAAACACAAAGTTACACAAACTGAAAGATGAAGCACGCCATTCCCGATCGAGTCGAACCTGTCGACGTGTGAACGTACGCGCGAGTAGCTTGCAAAATAAATGCGCAGAATAAACTTTAAACAGGAAAACAAAAACAGTAAATGCTGACTCAGCATTCAGACGTTTACTCAAACCGAGGTTGATAAACGCAGTGCAACTTAAATATAACTTAACTTTTTACATTCGTCATGTTCAGGATTCTCCTTAAAAAAAAAAAAAAAAGATAAATATGTTATATTTGACATGACACATCTGGATGGAGCCAGAGTGAAGCACTAATATTAAAAACACGCATAATGGAAAAAGGCGTTTTACTTCAACATAAAACCAACAAAGTCCGTCTGCGTGTCTTTAGAATGTCACTGGACCAAATGAAACATGAACAGCATGGAGCAGCTTTTACTGAATAGCTGCTCCAACGTGAGTGTGGTTTTTGACTGAGCTTTCACAGGATTTAGACCTCGACTCCACTCGGACACGCTTTTAAAAAACATGTTTCGTCAAAGCTCCCGTTTCATCTGCTGGAACCGATCGTCGCACCCGTCTGAACTTTGAGAGTTGATTCTAATAAAACAGACCACAGATGCAGTAAAAACACATTCAAATAATCTGCAAAAGGAAAACAAACAAGGTGAACAGATGTTTTGGAAAAGGTTTTTATGACGTTGGATGATACAGGGTTTGGAGGGTAAAAGCAAACTTGAAAAGATAAGGCAAAGAGAAAATGACTCGTTTTAGCTTCATAACGGTGTCTCGTGTACAAAAAGCCACGACGTTCCTGTTTTTATTTGACGGAGATGAGAACATGGCGGGAGCAGGGGTTTGGTCAGGTGCTTGGGCGTGGTCAGAGCAGCATCACCAGGCGATGTGGGTCCCATCTGTCTGCAGCTCCTAGCTGGGGGAGAGCGTGGGGCTGGGTTCGGTACTGATGTTCACCAAACACTCGCTGGACTTCAGGCTCGCCAGAGACTTGGAGCTCGGCAGAGAGGCCAGCGAGCCGCACAGACCCAACATGGAGGGAGTGTTGTCCTTTCCTGCAGCGAGCGGACACGAGACGCACAAGTTACGGTCCTGCTTTGTTTCAACCGCCCACACCAAGCCCTGCTCGCTCACATGAAGCCTGCCTTTGTGCAGCTGTGTGTTCATACATGTGCATGGGGAAAAGATTTATGTAGGCATTCCTGCCCCAGCAGAAATGGAGCCCCACTGCCCATTTTGTCTTGAATGTTCAACATTAGCAACAGAAAAACAAACATTCCGACCAAATTAATTCTGTTTAACTGAATCTGAGCTGCTGAAGACCTCCCAGAATGCTTAAACGGAGTTTATAATTAATGTTTCCCTGAAAAGTCAGCAGCAGATCCACAAAATATTTAGTTTGACCGCGTGCATTAAAGGAAATACACTGGCAAATCGCTCTGATTTAATCAGGTTTTTTTTTTTCCTGTAGATGTCTCTCCGTAGGTTTTTACTTCACATTTAAATGCTGCTGCAGATAAACTGTGACGTGTGGTGAGGTTCTGGAAAAAAGTTTGACCTGCTGAGCTCCAGGCAGCGTCTCCATTTTGTCTCCCGTCGGTCCTCTGGGAGTCAGAGTTCAGGCTGACTTCAGCAGAAAGCTGCTCCAGACTGTGGAAACTCCTCCTGGATGGCACAAACATCACAAACAGGTCAGAACAGTCCAAACAATATAGACTTGAGAATGCCTTATATTTTATTTCAGTATACCACAAAATGTATCCAGTAAATAAAAACGACTTCCTGTTAGACTTGATTAAATTAAACCATAACCGAGACGTTTCAACCGTCAGCGGTGTTTACCGGCGGAACAGTTTGATGTCTCCTTGGTTGTTTGTGACGTCAGACCACTGGTTGATCAGCGGGATGGAAAGATCTTTAGCCAGATGAGAAGGATCACAAGGTGTGAGGGCAGAGCTGAGGAAAGCAGAGGTCAAAGGTCATTTAGGGCGTCGTCTAATCTTCAGTTCTCTTCACCACAAAGTGATACCATCGCTTCTTTTAAGTCTAGGAAGAAAATGTCAGATATTTTTGCCCCCAATTTTTTTATTTTCATCGCAATACTCAGTTGTAACGAGTTCTATTATTAAAGTCTATATTTTAACATTTGAAAGTGTACATTTTATAATATTACTTTGCTTGTTAGGGAAGGAGCAAAATGAAAACCAGAGAAACTGCAAAATCTGTGAAAATTCATTGTGAGCGGAATGAAAGAGAAACTGAGTTATTAACATTAAAAAACTGAATTTTGAAAGCAAAAAGAAGCAGAGCACTAGCTAAAAGAAGCAAGAAATTTGCTAAAAG